CAAATAATATTCTCTAAAGCTAATGTCCAATAAGATATAAAGAATTATTCATCCAATCATATTGTGATATGAAGTGACCAATAATAAAATTAACTAATATTCTACTAAAAGTTCATATCACAACAATATAAATAATTAGTTTAACACTTAAATATATATCATATATATAATATATGATTATTATAATTTTAATTAATATTTGATCAAACTTTAAATTATAAATTTGAAATCTTATAAACAGGTCAATTTAAAACTGTAACTACAAATGCAAGAGATAAATAATAAGAAAGCTCTATATTATTGTAAAAATAGAAAAAAAGTACTAATGCCAAGATCTATAAATGGTAAATTGTATCTAATAAAATAACTGTGCAAAGAAATATCACATGATCCAAAAATCTTAATGTTAAAATTGTCACGTGTATAATTAACGTTAAAATATTCAAAAATATTAATGTTATGCTAAAAGATAAAATGAATAAACGTTCCTTCCTTCACATGATCACGCATCCACTCTCGGCACTATTACCAAACAATCGATCGAACCACGATAAATCTCCTTTTCCTTGATCAAACTCTAGAAACAAACAACCGGGGTTAGGTCTATTCGGCGTACACCGAATCTGATATTTGTTAATTAATTCTGCAACTGCAGGTTTTAATTTTGAAACTCCGCCAATTGAATGATTTCCCTTGCCGACTATAATCACTAAATTTTTAGCTTTCATTGATTTACAGTATTGTATGCGTTGTTCTGTGTATTCTAACGCTTCTGTGACAAAGAGACCATGCAGGTCCAGTTCTTGATAACTTCGATTTTTGTTGTTTTCTTTTTGGAAATAAATAAAAAGGAAAAAGAAAAGAAAGAAATGTCAATAATTTTGTGAAATCAAAAAAGCATCAAATTAATTATATTAAATTAATGTTAAGTCAATAAAATTATGTAAATGCACGCATTAAACAATACCTGCACACCTCTCTCACTCTATCTCCTTTCTATTCAATTAATTTCTATAAGTTCTCTCTTACATTTTCTTTTAATTCACTTAAAAATCCCCTATACAACGATTCTTTTTCTATTTCTTTTTCTACAATTAATGTTATCTAGTATACAATTATATACAAACAAATAACCAATGACATTGTGAACTATCTATAAACTACGTTTAAAGATATCATCCATACGACTAGCCAGCCAGCCACCAAATTCTTTTTTTCTAATCTTTTAATCAATGTTTCTACATTACCTCGATAAATAAATTCAGCTGCCATTTTATTATACTTTTCCATTTCCTTGTAATGCTCTTTTGCCTTATTCGATAATTCCTTGGCTTTTCTTCCATTTCCATTTCTATAAGCAGCCTGAGCTTGCTCAGATATTTGTTTGCGGATTCTTGCTTGTTCTCCAGCTAACCTGCGATAATTCTGATACCTAGCTTCGACAGTTTGTTCGGAGTAATTTGAAATAACTTGACCCATTGTAATTCGAAAACTGAGGCTAAATTAGTATAACGATAATTAGGGTATTATCGTTATATATAACAACGATAATGGAGATTGTTTGCCAGAATAAGAAGTTGTAACGGTAATGTTAAATACGTGACAAATAAAAAGTCACATGATAATTTAATGAAACAATTTGTCTCGCTCGACGTTCAAAAATGTTAAAAAATTAAATTATGCAAACGAAATTACTTATCCTTAGTACCATAATTAAAGTTTTGCTTTTTCCAGCATAGTAAGTTCATTTAACAACCACAACTAGTTGCTTGAATCTAAAAAAAAATTTGATCACAATGACAAAATAAAATCAAGAATAACTATCAAAGACAATTATTTTTATTCGCGTCTCTTGTGCACGCGAACCTAATAAAAAAGCCGTTCAACAGATTTTGAAGTTCATAGAAATTGGTTAGCGATAACTCACAGTCTTCCATTATCAAAATGGTATACTGAGGTAACCAAGAAAAAAGTCCTTAAACTAGTTTAATTTCTCTATTAATTAAATATGCCGTTCTCGTAGAACACGAGCGAATGGACATTAGATTATCCACCATTCTTCGCATATTTCGAATGGTTTTTATCACAATGGGCTGCTTTTTTCTCAGGCGATCGTGAAATGCTACGCGTGGAGAATCTTGATTATGCAAGTCGCGATACAGTACTATTTCAACGGATGACTGTGATAATAAGTGAACTGGTTTTGTTCTTTGCATTGGAAAAGTAAGCTATGAATGCGAATTGTTTCTCAAAGACGTCTCGTCACATTCATTTAAACATCATCAACATGTGGTTTTCAAATTTGATCTTTTTCATGGTGGCTATTTCCATATATATATATCTATTATTCCATTATATCAATAGTATTTATCCGGCCAAAAGTATCATTTTTTACCCTCTTTATCCATAAATAGAATTAGAGACACTTTATCGAACCGAATGCTTATCAACTAACAATCACTTCTTTAATAACCTTCGTCACCTTTGTATATTGTACGCTTATCAATAATGACAACAACTACGATGTGATACTCATCGATGCTACAAAGATTTTTGCAAACATGGGGAAGTAAAAGCCACCTTGTACGAAATCGTATTATTGCTGCTTCAATATTTTTGAATCCTGGTTTGATAATTGTTGACCATATCCTTTTACAGATCACTATGTTTGTCTATTTGATCTTTGGGTGAAAATAAACAATTGGTATTTCCTTGACCATTCATGAAACACATATTCATTTTCAGTATAACGGATTTTTGTTTGGAATTCTTTTATTTTCGATTGTATATGCTAAGAAGGTATATTTCCTTTACTTGTTCAATTTCTCTAACTTGATTAACTTATTCATTGATTTATTATGTGACAGGGAGACGACCTTAAATCCGGGGTTCTTTTCGCTATTTTACTTAATTTTAAACACATATACTTGTATCTCGCGCCGGCTTATTTTGTGTATTTATTGCGAAACTACTGTTTTCAAAACGTGGCGACCAGGGGTACTAATTATCATGATTTAAATTATCGAATCTCCTTTTAGAACGATGGCTCATCCTTTTTATGTTAATATTCATTATTATTAGATCAAAGTTTTTCAATACGGAATTTTGTTATTCTCGGGGCATCTGTCGCCACGATTTTCTGCATTTCTTTCGGTCCTTTTATTTATATGGGCCAATTAGGTCAACTTCTTTCACGTTTGTTCCCGTTCACTCGGGGCCTATGTCACGCGTATTGGGCACCAAATTTTTGGGCTTTATATTCTGTTACGGATCGCGCGCTTATCATGGGTAAATAATCAGTTAACACCTTAACAATGTTCATTTTTAGAATATATTTATTGTTCTCAATTTTTTGGGTTTAATTAATTGATAGTTGGCAAATGGCTTGGCTGGACTCTAAATGAAGATTCACTCGCGTCTATCACGCGGGGTTTAGTAGGTGACGTTAGTTTCGCCGTGTTACCGAACATTAAGCCGAACATTACTTTTATGGTTACGCTCTTTTTTCAAATTGTTGGTATTTATTTTTCCTTGTTTTTTTTTATTTTAATAAATCTGATACACGCCATTTTTCTCCTCATCTTAAGACAGCATTAGTAAAACTATGGCGACAACCAAAATTTCGAAATTTCCTCGGCTCATTAATTCATTGTGGATTCGCATCATTTCTATTTGGTTGGCATGTTCATGAAAAAGCCATCTTGTTGGTGTTAATTCCTTTCAGGTAAGTTATAACACGATTCTTCCTTTACCCAAGCAATATTAAAAATGAGTTGCACATTTTAACTATTGATTTAATCTACTTTCACCATAGCTTAATAGCAAGCGAAAGCCACCTACATTATCGCACATTCGTCATTCTTTCGATGTCAGGATTGTATTCGTTGTTTCCTTTGCTGTTTAAAGTGACAGGTTAGATATTAATGATCTTTTTGTTTAATTCTCATTATATTTATGAAATCTATTATTTATCATGTAGAATCGGTAATAAAAATCACATTATTATTAATTTGGATGATTTTGACCTATTTCGGATTATCTCACATTATTCAAAGGTATTAATCACTATTAAATAAAAATTAAAAATCATCTATTTAAAACAATTTCATTAAATTAATTAATTAAATAAATTAAAAAAAATAGTGATAATGGCCAGCCATCATCATCAAGGATATCAATCTGGACCACACGAATCGGGTCATTTATCAATTTCCTGGAAAACATATACATGTACGGATTCATCGTGTTGCAATTTTTTACCGGAATTGTGCACCAACTTGTGTTCCAAGATAGATATCCTTTTCTACCACTTCTTGCGACGTCGGTATATTGTGCGATTGGTGTTTTACATTCTTGGATTAGATTTTCTTTTATTTATTTCATGGCGTCATCTTAATGATTTAAGTCTTTTTAATATGAATCTTTTTTAAAAAAATATCGGATTTGGCAAATCAACGACTTAAAAATAATTAAATTAAATAAAATAATAGAATAAATACCTACAAAACTTTGATAGTAAATTAATCGTTGATAAATATGGAACGTGCATCTATAAAAAATCGTCTTTGTCGTTATCATATAATTTAATGTTGTCGATTATTCACGATAGGTGTCGATAATTCTTTGCCTTCTATAAATTTTTCCAATTCAATTTCTGCCATTGGATAGCAATGAGATTTGGTGGGAAAAACGCCAGTCTTCACTTCATCTCGATAAGATCTCAATGCTTCTACAATAGTATTATCAAGAGATGCATACTGTTTACAGAACCTACCATCGTATAAAGTATTGTTAGTGGTATTGTATAATAATACAGTATCTTGTTTGGTATGAAAAATGCGCAGAATCCACTCACCGAGGCACGAAACGATCAAAAATTCCAAGCATATCTTGTTGAACTAGAACCTGTCCGCTGGTATGTACACCTGCACCGATCCCAATAGTTGGTATTTTTAAATTTTTTGTCGTGTATGCAGCCACCATTTCGGGAATGGCTTCAAGAACTATTGCGAAACAACCAGCTTCTTGAAGCGCTTTTGCATCTTCGAGCAGTTTTAGTGCCTAAATATTATTATAATTATCACTATATTTGATCGTTTATGTGTTTGTCTAAAGGACAACCTACTTTCTTTGCAGTATTTCCTTGTACGCGGAATCCACCTAAAGATGTTCGACGTTGTGGGGTTAATCCTACATGACCCATGACTGGAATACCGACACTGGTAATTTTTTGAATAGTCTCCGCGATTTCGATACCGCCTTCCAATTTTACCGCCTGCATAAAACCATCAAATTATTACGATAAATTAAAAATTAAAAAATATTTATCATGATTCAAAAATACCTCCATATTTGCTTCTTTAATAAATCGAATTGCATTTTTCACCGCATCTACTGATCCCATTTCATAGCTGCCAAAAGGCATATCAGCCACAAGAAACGGTGATTTTGCACCTCTAGCAACAGCTTTGCAATGATGAAGCATCTCCTATACATAAAATCGATAAACAAATAAACCAATTTAATAACTCATTGAATCATATACATACACAATAATGCATACATCCATAGTGATTTGAGTGGTAGACTCATAACCCAACTCAACCATCGCCAACGAATCACCGACAAGACAGATTTCGATGCCCGATTTTTCGACAAAAACCGCGGACGGATAATTTGTTGCGGTCAACATTGTAATTGGTTCTCGTTGGCTATAGAGTGTTCGTAGAGTGTTAATTGTGATTTTTGGACGTTCTTTTTTATTGGTATTTTAATTATTTTTAATAAGAAATATGTAATGAATTTTATGGGAATTCAGATTTTTAGAAATATTTTTTTTACAACGATAGTAGATTTGATTTTCCCATATTAATATTATCATTTACTATCACATTTCATGAAAGCATACATACCACTACTACTTTTTTTTACTGCAATGTCTGGTCTTGTACTATAGAAACGTTCTTTTCTTGCTATTGAACGAACATTGGTACTAGTAGGAATTTTAACGAACTTCCGAGATAATAGAGTACAAAAGGACTCAACCGCTTTACTGTCTTTGGAAAAATGTATGGACGTCGCCGAATGGTAAGAAGAAAAAAGTCGTTGTGAATATAAAAATCTCAAATTATTCATTTTATTTATTTTATTTAATAAAGCCATCTTATTTGTAACAGTGATACACATAAGAATAATAGAAAGTTAACTGGCGAAAAAAAATTGAGCTTTAAATAATACCGGAGATAAGAAGATACGCAAATATATACAACAAAATCAGTTCCTATTCGGAGACGCGTAATTGAAGATAATTTTTATTAGATCAGATTAGATCAATATCTAAAATTAATTGTGTAATATCAATATACTAATTAAAATTAGATTACCGCAAAAGGGAAAGTAGTTCATAGGCAAAATTTTCGAAATGTAAGAAGTTTAAGTATAGATTGATATTGTTCATTATTTATTACTAAATCCCTAACAAACATGTGATAAAAAATCGTCATATGGATAATTGAAATATTTCATGTAAACCATATGACCGACACGTTTTTTGCCGTGGATTTAAAGAGAATATTCTAGAATAATAAAGTTTTTTAATTGAGGATTTTTTTGCGCGTCAATAAGCGTCGAGGACGCGCGTTATTTCTCGAAACTTTTATGCATCATGATACTATTGAGGGCTCAAAACTATAATCATACATTTACGGTTTCACTATCAAGACAGCAAAGAAAAAGAATAAGAAATTATATAGTGAAAGTAGCAAGACAGCAACATAAAATTTTATTTTACTCCGTGCGTGTATAATTTCACGAGCTAAAAATTTTGCTTTTACTATTTCTTACCTATGAATTTCTTACGCTTTAATATATTTAATCTCACGTGATAAAGACACACTTTAAATCTAGCCACCACCATCACTATGACCATAACAATAATCCATATGGAGCCAGGGCTTGTCTTTCAAGAATGTTTTTACCGACTACCAAAGATACCGCAATAGTAACTCCATCGTCACAACAGCAGCATCAGCCAATGACGCCAAAAGTTAGTGAAGATAAAAAAAAGAGTAATGACGTTGCTGTTAGTGATAGTTATCGATTAATGATTCGTGCTGGATTAATAAGACAGGTTTTTATTGTTTTTATTGAAATCGAAAATCAATTTTTTGTATAGAGATTTCTGACATTTATTTGTTAAAAGTCATCCTCAGGGATTTATTCCCTTTTACCGTTTGCGTTACGTGCATTAGAAAAACTGGAAAAAATAATTGAATATGAAATGGTTAATATTGGTAATTAATTATTAGCTGAACTCTTTCGTTCACTCGAATCAATTACAATAATGCTAAATGGATCATCGTTGTCTGTAATTTACAAATAAATAGGTGCCCAAAAACTTTCGTTGCCAAATCTTTTGAGTGCCGAGCCGTGGAAGCAAACGGGTAGATGGGAAACAGCAGCTAGTGAAGTTAGCATTACGATTGATTAATTTAATTGGAGTAAAACTAATAGTATTAGAGTATTAACAATTATATATTTGATCAGCTTTTTCGACTTCAAGATCGGAAAGAATCTGATTTCTGTTTAGCGCCAACGCACGAAGAAGAAATTACACGTTTAGTTGCACATGAAGTTTCGTCGTATCGGCATCTTCCTTTACGATTATTCCAAATTGGTATTTCCCATATTATTTGAGTCGGCTGACGCTGAAATTTATATGAAATTAAATTATATGATCCAATAATATCTCCAAAAAACTGTACACCCGGTTAATGATTTTTAAGATTGGGTTATATAAAGTTTCACATGAATTTCAGCTTCAGTCAGTCACATTATTTATAAGCATAAAATATTTTGATCTATAAATGTGAATGCTTTCTTAATTCGGCTAATTCTTTTACTTTCAGGTAAAAAGTATCGCGACGAGATGCGTCCACGGTTTGGTCTATTACGTGGTCGCGAATTTATTATGAAGGATTTGTATACTTTTGATACGAGTGAAGAAACCGCATTGCAGTCTTATGAACAGGTTTTGGAGGCCTATAAAAGAATCTTTGGAAAGATTGAATTGCCATTTGCTATTGTGAGTGGAGATTATATTTTTTTAGGGTTGGAGAATGTTTCGAATTAAATATAAAATTATTAAAGGTAGAGGCGGATCCTGGAAATATCGGTGGCACTCGTTCACACGAATTTCAATTTCTATCAAAAGGTGATTTGTAAAAAAAAAGGCCAAATTTCATTATTGATGAAATGCTTACTACTTTATATAACGACTTTCAAATTCTATATTAGCTGGTGAAGACACGATATTAACATGTTCCAAATGTGGGTATAGTGCCAACGAAGAAAAGGCAATAGGAGTTCTTCCTCATCCACCAGAAGCGTCATCTTCCCTCGACAAAGATTCGTTAATTCGATTCGGGATAACTGAGAACAAAAAATTGGCGATAATTTTATTAGGCCCTGGACGCGAAGTTAATTCTGTTAAATTAAAATGGGGTAGCGGAGACCATACCGTGAGAATTGTGGATCCTATTCGAGCTTACGAATTAATAACTATCGATGATAGTGAACAAGATCCAGTGATACATATATTTAAAGACCATACATTTACTGGACCAATTAATGACGAACTTTTCACAGTCTCGCGCGACCACATAACCAGTGATATTCTGAAAAAAATCACACCAAAATTAAAAATTTTGGGCGACCATCATCATTTTCATCATAATATTAGCATTCATAACGGCGACTTTCACAACACTAAACAAGGGGATGGATGTCCGAGATGTGCACTACATTTCCATTCTACTGCCCCAGCACACAATTTCGAGCCATTAACAAGTAGCCGAGCAATAGAAGTAGGACATACTTTTCTACTTGGGACTAAATATTCTCAGCCATTGCATGCGACATTTGCCCCAGAAAATCCCACGACACCTGGTGAACGCCGTCCAATCCAAATGGGATGTTTCGGACTAGGATTAACGCGCATGCTCGCAGCAATTATTGAAATATCACATGATTCTTTGGGTATCGTGTGGCCTAAAAATATTGCACCCTATCGTGTTTGTATTATTCCCGGAGTTAGGGAAGAGAAAGTGATTGAAGCTGTTAATCGAACTTTTGACTTATTGAACACACTACGAACAACAACTGATTTCAGAATAACAGGAAACGATGTTGTGATTGACGATCGTGCTGGATCTTTGGGTTATCGAATGAAAGATGCAGAATTAATTGGATACCCGTGGAATATTGTATTGGGCAAACAGTTTCTAGAAACGGGAAAAATGGAAATACAGAAACGGAAAATAGGCGGTGTTGATAAATATTTTGTGGAAATGGAAGAAATTTGTAATTTTATTGAAGAATCTTCATAATTATTAAAAGAGTTAAAGCATAAAAAGTGCTGATAGAATATATTGCAGTCAACCAATATCATCCTTTAATGAATTTGAATTCTCGATTATGAACAATTGCGGCAAGTTTTTGCCAGATTTTGCGGCTTTGGATTTGGTAGGATAAGTCATCTAAATCTTGATTTTTCAATTTGAGGTTTTTGGAAGCGAATCATCCGAAACATGATGGTTTACAACTTTATCGGGATACACTCCTAGCAATATTTTACAGCTCTCAACTGTCAGAAGCGAGCTTTAGCAGACAAATCACGTTTGCATCCGTTTGGATAAGTTTTGCTTGCGTGTTTCGGCAAAGAAACTTCAGGGACGAGCGTTTGATTGTAGATAAGGAATTATTAATTCATGGGGAATGCTGCTACATTTTTTGATGAAAGTTGATGGTATTAAAGAATCTTGTAAAGATTTGTGAAACAAGTTATTTTTCTTGTGATAATAATAATAATATTAGCATCTTCTATTGGAAATGGGCGAGAGATCTCGATTTCATCAATATTTATTGAAATAATGAAGTATTAACTTTGTGTGCTTCTATTTAGGATTACAGATGAAGACAGACATCCTGTGAAATTTGCTATAAAAACTTAGAGCAGATTTCTAGTCATTATTATTATAACTATGTCATGATCATCAATATTATTTATACTCTATTTATCAGTGGTATATGAATTTCCTTTTAATACGCATCAATTTCAAAAACAATTGGTCAGACTGCCCCTCATTACATTTTTATTATCACGAAATTTTTTTTGAAAGCAAGTACTTACTAGCAGTGGTTTTCTTAATTTGACATATATAGATCCACTTCTTTTGCAAATTCGTGACACTGCCCAAAGATAAAAATTTAATTAACATTACATATCGATGTTTATTGGTTGAATCTCTCTATTCAGTATAATTTGAAAAAAATCAGAAGAGCCAGAAAAATACAAGGTATAGAGCTAATTCCTTTTAAAAATCAGTATTATAAAAAGTTTTTTGAAAAAATACAATAAAAAAAGATTTTAGAAATAAAAAAAAGTTATAGAATATCTAAAGAAAATCCCAAAATGTTTCATAAAACCCAAGAAAATATCAGCAATTGTTGAATCCAATTTTTCCGTTAATACTAGTGCCCTAATAAATAAGATAAAAGAACCAAAGGAGGAAATAAATAAAGTTTAAAAAAGTGCCAATACGAGAAAACTACAAAAAACTACATGATGATGTTTTAGAACACCAATGAGAGGAAGAAAAGGATTATAATAAGAAAGAGTGTGAATGTGAATTATATGTGGTGGTAAATTATATGTAGTATGTCTTATTATCGGAAGCCGGGAAGCCATGATGTCCGACGTTCGGTCCTGCCCGGTGTTGACACTTTTGATAAGGAAAATAAGAAAATAAGAATTATTAGGATTCAATCTTGATATTAATTCTCGCAAAATATAAACAGCTAAACTTCTAATAATAATTGGCAAACAGGTATTCCCGTACCCGGATCTCATTACGTCACTGGGCAACAAAAGAACCACCTGTATCGCCGCCGCTATGTTTATATTTCCAGTGACGTAATGAGATCCGGGCACGGGTTGATTTATTCACGTGTATTAGGATAGTAATCTTACCGAACGAATTTCCTGTTGGTGATCCACCAACATTATCGACACTGGACAGGTGGTAAACAAGTAAATAAAATATTCTTCGAACGGCTATTAATTTTTAATATTTCCATACCCCTCTAGAGATGGATGTCCTTGCCCTCTGAGGGGCTTGGCAATTCGGTTGTTGGGGTTGTTGGCAAAGGAACCCAACAAACTGGCGGATTTTTGTGCTAGAAAAAGTAGTGAAAAATATTACAAGTTTAAGCAATCCGTAATGTTAAAAATAAACAATACATATTTATATTCAATACTTACATCGTGCTTGTTCTAATCGCTCTCGGACTGCTTGTAATTGTGCCTCGAATCTATAATAAGGTAAAAAAGGATTAAATCGTTATATACAATAATTATAGTGACTATAATCCAATAATAGTCTTACTTTTGATTTTGTGTTGTCAATTTCTCTTGAGCATCTTGCAATAATGCTTCTAATGCTTGAATACGTTCATTTCGTGCAAGAAGTTTTCGTTCTGCTATGGCAACTTCTTTCTTTAGCGATGAATTTTGTTCAACAAGCTATTTATTTATTTAGACATCATATTATTGTCAATGATAATAGTAAATAGGATTGAAATCACAACAATAAATAATAATGATAACTCACCTGTTTCTGCACATTTGTGAGTTGCTCCAGATTCCTTTCCAAAAAGGCCATTTTCTTTTGTTGAGCTTTATTATTACTATTACGTAAAACATTATTATATTGTTCTCGGGTTTCATCTAATGAAATCTCAAGTTCAACGACTTTTTCGCAACGATTTTGTAAATCACGCATCAAAGCTTTCTTCATGACGTCAAAATCGGCCAATTGTTGGGCCATTGTCTTGCGGATACGTTCCATATCTTTTTCTTTTTCGGCCGTGTCTTTGCGACCTTCAATGCGGGTTTCTTTCTCTGTGATCGCATTCTGGATTTAAAAGTGATGAGTCAAAAATATTAAGTGTTCAACATTGCTCTGATATTCCTTTACTAATCTCACCGTATCACGTGTCGGAAAGAGTATTACCTGTAACTCTTCATTAGCTCTCTTTAGTTCTGCAAGGGCACTAATTGATAGGAATATATCATTGTTAATTGTCTGCATCAATATATATCAACAAATAATGATATGAACCTGTTGAGTTTATGCAATTCCTCGTTCTTCTTTTCTAGTTCTTGTTTTAGCTCTTCGATCTCTTTTTGTTGTACTTCTTTCTTTGCTGAGTATTGACCCTCGAGTTTCGCCTATATACAATTAATCGTTATATATTGATTAATATAACATAGGTTCCAAACTTGCTGAAAATGATAGATATATACCCGTAATTCTTGTATTGTCTCTGTAATATCAATCTTACTATTTGCTTCTTCATCAGCAATTGTCTTATCTATTTAAGCATAGAATAAATCATAAATGAATGAATGGCGCGTAATGAAATCACAATGATCCACCAATTAACTAACCTAATAATTCTTCATATTCTAATTCCAAAGTTGTCAAGCGGACTTCGAGTTCATCTCTCTTTCTTGTTAAATGTTCATTTTCATAATGTAGTTCACTGATAGTCTGTTCATGCTGAGTAACCAAACTCTTTGAATCTGCCAATTCACGCCGAAGCGTTGCAAGTTCTTCCATGGTGAGAGTAGCGGATCCACTTCCGTCAATAGAGTCTAGTTTATTAAGTGCTTCACGGATTTGTTTCTCCTTAGCAGAAATAACCCCTGAAGGATCTAATTCCGCCATCATTTGAGCCATTTTTTCTTGTTTCTTCTGTTCTTTGTCTCCCTCTTTTTGTGATATCTTGAGCTCAACTAGAGTTTTCTATAAAGAATTAAAAAAAAATATTATTATCTTTTATTATAAGTCAAATCCAATATAAATTTCTAAAATACAAAAATTATACTAACCTTAAGTTGTTCAAGTTCACTACTTAGCTCTGCATTAGCTTCACGTAGACTATCAATTGTGATAGCGCCTTCCTTGTTATCATATGTGACTTTTTCTAGTTGTAATTTTAGTTCACTTAGTTCACTTGCCATTTCTTTATTTTCCTATTGCATTTAAAAAATTATAATTGAAATGTAAATCATAAATTTATATATAATAATCAATCAGTCATTATAGTATTTGAATATAAACCTACTTTTGTGATTGTTTCTTCTTGTTCTTTGAAGTAACCAAGTTCTTCTTTCATTTCTGCAAGTAATTTCTCTTGTTTAGCCAAAAGTGATTCTTTCTCAGCTATCTGATCTGTAAGCTCATTCTCGCGTTTAAGAAATTCTTCGCGTTCATCTTTTTCTAATATCGGGGCTGGTGTACTTGGCCGCGATTCAAATTCTTTTTTGGCAGCTTCAACTGCAGGATTTGGCGCGGCAGGAGTTGTGGGTGTAGATGGCGTGACAGCGCCAGCACCTGCTTTATCTGCCGAAACCCAATTTTCCTTAGGAACAGTGCCACCTGAGCGCCATATTCCAATTTCTCCTTCCAATGCACTAATATATTGTTGGAATGATACTGCTTCGCTTTTGGCTTTTTTCAACAAAGCCTTGAGTTCGGCAGGACTGAGTTCAGCGTTGACTCTTGCTTTATTCTTGATACTCTTGGCCCTGTAAATTGACAATGATAATAATAATTTAACAACAAGTGAAAAAATAATAGAGTACAATATAGATTTCTTATTACTCACCTCATACCGAATCTTAATGTACTTAGAGTTTCAGCTTCGTTAAATGAGGATGGAGAACAATTTATGATGAGCGTCGTTCGAGAGTTACCACCCAAAGATTCTTGCAGAATTCTAGTCAATTTACTGTCTCGATAAGGAATGTGAGTAGACTAATAATATCAAAGGGTATAAAAATCTCGTTAAACATATATTATTGTGAAAAAGGTATCACAAACGTATGCTAATGATTCTTACTTTGCCATCAGTCAAGGCGTTAATGACCATTCCAAGAGCTGATAATGACTTGTTAATTTTCTTGGCTTCTTCAAGGGTTTGACCAGATGCACCAGTTTTACCAACCTATTCATTATTTAGTTACGTTTTGTTAATGCGTCAATTTCAATTAAACAAAAAGTTTCCACTAAAAATTACTTTTTCTGAACCAGCCAAATCGACGAGTGATAGTCTTCCACTTTTGACGCTTCCATCAGCAAGATTTTTTTGAGAGACAGTGATAACAAAAATCGAATGTGAACGAGAAGATTCAGCATTCATGTCTAATGGAATAAGAAATTTTAATTAAAATTCATTTCACAATTCATATCGGATGCTATAAGATATATCCCACTTACTGGTATAAGCAACTACACGAGCATTTCCACCACGTTTCATCACTTCGTAGACTTCTTGTACTGAGCTGACATATACTTCCAAAAGACCTTTTACGTACACACCTCGATTCTTTTCTTCGTGGATAGGAAGATTATCATTTTGTGCTGGAATTAAAAAAAAAAATAATGTTCGTCGTCAGTTACAATTTCTAACAGGCAGCACAATGGTGCAAACCACAATATGACTAGTTGGTTACTTACGATTTAATAAATCACGGATTTTTTCCATATAAATTTCCATATACGAGACTTTAACGGTATATTCCATTGTTGATGGTGATTCAAGTATATCATGGAAAATTTGTTCGACAATCCGCGGAATAAGACCTTTTAATTCTTCGTTATCAATATCGGCACCCTAAATAGGTTTAATAATCAAAAAAACATGATTAGAAACAGCCAATTATATAGATAATGCTGCGCTTCTTCATCGTCTCTTAAATCAATAATACTGACCATCATTGTAAATGTTTTTCCGGAACCAGTTTGACCATAAGCAAATACAGTTCCGTTGTAACCTCCGATAACATCTATTTAACGGGATGAGATGATATGATGTTAGTCATGCTTTATAGCACGATTAAAAGTGTTGATCCATAACAGATTACACATACCATCGACAATAGGTTTAATTGAGTGTTCGAACACTTGTTTTTGGGTTGTGGTTGTGGGGAAAATGGCATCGAAGGTAAAGTTTCCTTGGTATTCTTTACCCTTTAAATTAGAATGTCTTTATTTTAGTATTTGAAGGCTTTTTAGAATTATTAGACTTTCATTCAGCAAAAAAAGTTGTATCTGATCTTTGATTTTTTACAATTATACATATTTGATTTCTATTACGACAACCAATTCACGAAAATATACTCACTTCCATTCGAACGGTGTCGTCACTTCCTTCATCGAATGTTATGATATGGACACCACCTTCTGCGTTTTCACGTTTATTCTGAGGTCGAAAACGACACACTACTCTGATGTTGTTTCTATTTTGATCACCCATTTTTTCTATATATTATTTATTTATTTCTATTTGTATTATATAGATGAAGTTTCTGGGGTATAGAAGAGAACAAACACGAAGAAGATGAAGGGTAAGTATTACGTAAAATTTTTTAGAATGGAACAAAGATGAAGAATATACCGTTTGGGAAAATCACTCTCGTAAAGTTTTTGTATGTAATAAGTAGCTTAAGTCAAATCTTAGAGAGGTTAATCCAGCGCATAAAAGGTAAAGGTAACAAAATGATATCTAGTTATATTTTTTTCCTAATGTCTTTTGCTTAAGGCAAGTTCAATAAAGAATTTCCTATAGACACGGAACTAATCAATTTTTTTTATGATTTTTAATAGAAGAAACGAGCAAGTATTTGAAAATTCTCCTTCAAACCGCTTGCAAAGTGCAGTTTTAAAAAGGCAAGGTTTCGGTAAGAATAGAGAACAGACAGACTTAGTGTGCAACACAAGGCCACTGCGAAAAAGGGTCAACAGAATTGATACTTAAAGTTCAAACTAAGCTAACTCTCCGCAGTCCTATGTGGAAATGATTGACACATAAGAATGTGAATATATAATATAAATAATAAATATAATAAGTAATTGACGTAAATCTTTACGTTTCACAGCGAGGTTACAATATGACCAAATTTTGGACAAAGACAAGTACAAAGGCTCGCCAACGAAAAATAGAATCAACGGAATGATTGATGAGAGCGAAAGGAAAAGGAGCGATTGAGCGAGATATAACAATAATTAGTGATTGATATGATGATGATGATGATGGTAGGTGATAGGGTAGTAATAATCATCAGCCCCGATTCGATGATGGGGATGGTAAAAAGACGACGACGTACAACTTCCTTCCAAGGCATAATTGATTCTTATTATACATATTATTAATATTGTTATTATATTATTATATTATTATTATTATTATTATTATTGTTATCGTTATTATTATTATTATTATTATTATTATTATTATTATTATTATTATTATTTATTGTATGATATTGATCATATAGGTGAATTTCTCCCTCCTGAGTCTGTTTTTGGGATGGATGAAGTAAATGTATTGCCATTGTTTGCAATCTATTATGAAGTTTGCACATGGAAATGAAAGATTGCTTTAATGTTATCATAACACGATGCAACTTGGCTGTTGTTTGACGGACGCCTTTCAAAGCAAAATCTAATACTTTATTGAAAAAAAAAAGGAATAAATATATAATTATATATAAATATATATAATTATTCAACTCTATTGTCCGATCAATGCTCAAATTTGTTATAGTTCTGCCTGTCAATTCTTTATCCGGTATCGAAACTAGCATGAAACGCGCGACTTGAACCAACATATATTAGCATTGTGTGTTGGCGTCTAACTTCGCTCGATAAAATAAATTCCTATTTTGTCCACAGACAGCTATGATTCTATTTCTTAATAATCGCAGCTGGCTACACAGCAAATTTCTCACGTGAAATCGTCAAAGATTACTTTGCATATTGAATAGGATGCAATGCAAAGAGAAAATTCATAAAAGGAAAAATTAGCTGCTCCTCAGGTTCAATTGTACTTTTTACAAACAATTATCGTTATTCTATATTAGCTAATGATTAATTTAAATAATAATAATAATAATAATAATAATAATAATAATAATAATAATAAACTGAAACACCTTCAAAGTAAAATCTATATATTGAAGACAACAGCAAAAGTATATTTTTTTTTAATCAATAAAGCCAAAAATTTAGCAAAAGGGATAATAAACAAATTCACAATAAATTCATTGTTTGTCATTTTTATTTATAGAATTCAAAGTCCGTGTCTGCTTTCTTAACATTTGCCTTGTAGCCTTTTTCAATATCCTTGCTGAGAATCACGTAACGATTCTTTCGTACAGCTTGCATGCCAGCTTCTTGACATATTGCATGTATTTCGGCACCACTCAACTTATCAGGTCGAGAGACAACTATCAATAAGAAATTAGGAATTAATATCAGTTATTGTTGATATCAATCCAAAGAATGTTCATTACTTACAATCTTCCAAATCCACTTCTTCAGAAAGATTCATACGTGACGTGAGAGTAGTAAAAATTAATCGTTTTTGTCGTCTGTCTGGTGTTGGAAACTCGATCTTACGATCGAGACGACCAGGCCTTAATAACGCAGGGTCTAAAGTATCAGCTCGATTGGTGGCCATAATCACCTAAAGATAGTTACCATGCATGAATAATGTGAATAAATTATGGATGAATCATGATTCAAGAAAACTTTTATTTCCACGCGAAAAAAAAAACCTATAAATCCTTTCACAAAACTTTTAATTCAATGATACCTTAACATTTGAGGTTTGATCAAATCCATCCATTTGATTTAACAGCTCTAATAAAATACGTTGAACTTCACGATCCGCTCCTGTTTGAGCATCAAATCTTTTTGTCGCAATCGCATCAATTTCATCAATGAAAATTATAGCAGGTGAATTCTCCCTTGCCAGTCTAAACACATCACGAACCATACGAGGTCCCTCGCCCAAATATTTTTGAACAAATTCCGAGCCAACGACGCGAATGAATGATGCTGTTGTATGATGCGCGACTGCTTTTACAAGCATTGTCTTGCCCGTCCCCGGTGGCCCATATAGCAAAACCCCACGTGGTGGATCGATTCCAATTTGTTTATAAAGATCAAAATGAGTTAGTGGTAATTCCACAGCCTCCCGAATTTCTTGTTTTTGAATATCGAGACCTCCCACATCTGCATACGTCACATCGGGTTTCTCGTCAGCCCCCAACATGGCGATGCTGCTATCAGCTTCTGGCGGCAATACATCAACAAGCGAATTAGAATGTCTATGAAGTGCGACAGAAGACGAAGGTTTAAGGAGTTCACGATCGATGGTGCTTAAAATTCTAACGACATAGTTTGAGCCTGTCGTTGATCCAACAATTCCAGTGTGCTGGTCAATTGGTTCCAAGAATTGGCCTATGACTAGAGGTACAGATTGAATGCGCTTAACTTCTTCCTGTGCCCTTATTAACTCGCGTTTTAGGTTTTTCTGTTCGTCTTTAATATATTCTTCTTGTAACTCCAAGAACTCCAAATGTCGTTGAAGTTTTTTTAGTTTTGTGTATAGATCTTGATCGCTGAGCTCCTTAAAAATTTCACTTGATACCCCAGCAGCCGAATTTGTTATTTCAACGCCAATTTCTTCCATTTTGTGTGAAATGAGAAGCTGGTTCTTTTTTTTGAAGCGGATTTTATTGGTAAAACTGTGCACATTGTGCACCTTAAACTGCGCCCAATTGAAAAGGTCCAATTTGATCTATTAAACAAATCATAAATCAAATATAAATTGATCAAGATACAAAGCTACAGCAATAAATCACTTAATATTTTACTTGAATTAATTTTTAGATTTTAATTAATCAAGACATAATCTAATGTTTTAGAATAAGAGAGAAAACACCAAAATCTTGCTTAACTATAACATTTTTTAAAATGAATAATCGAAGAATCCCATATTCCATGATATGGGCGGTGTGATTCGTTGACTCGCTACCTTTTACTGAATAAATAAATGTTATTTACAAATAAGTTTATTTGAGAAAAAAGCTTAAAATCATTTTTCATATACACTATCTTCCTCAACATTAGTTTTAGTTTCTGTGAGAATCTGTCTAGTGTATGTTACTAACGAGATCAATTGTTGAGCAAGATATTGCTCGAGGCGCCATTGTTCATCAACTGCTTTCTTATATTCACGATCATGGCTTTCTATTTGATCTCGAAGATTTTTTTCCAAACGATCACATTGTATCTGTAATTCTTGACGCTTCTCACGCATTGCCATTAAATTCTTTTTGCCTTCTAACCGAATATCAGCCATGTGTTTTTCATTTTGCCGTAAAGTTTCCATCCGCCATTTAACGTTCTCCTCGAACTTTTGTTTTGAATCTTCTAATTGTTCAAGAATAGCCGCATTGTTTCTTTCAACTCTCTGAATTTCCAATTGCAATGAAGATAATTGATCGGCGGATTCATCGAGCTTTCTTTCCAACTCACATTTTTCCTGGATAATTTGATGGTGTTGCGCATTATTATCCTTTCGTAGTTTCATAAGAACGTTCCTGCGTAAATCTTCCAAATCGGTCAAGATGATTTTCTCGCTATCAATATCCATCTCGATTTCCAAGTTGGTTCCCTGTTTCAAATTTACATCAGCAGCTACCATATTAAAATGTTGAACGCATTCTTCTATCTTAGCGATTTCTTGAGCAAACTCTTTTTCTGTTTCTTGGACTTTGCAAGTGGTTTGTTCTTTCTTCGCAATAATTTTCTGTAAATTATTATTAATTTCCACCCGATTTTGAAGCATTTGTTCCACTTCGTCAGTTGTGATAATTTGTTTATCGACAATAGACTGTAATTCCTCTTTTTCTTTTTCGAGTTTTTCTTTCCCTCTTTCTAGGAAAGAACAATATCAATTAATTCGCTAACATAGCGACAATGATTAACATTGTGAAAATATAAATTACAAACCTTCTTCCTCGAGTTTCTCTGCTAATTGTTTATTGGTAATTATCAACTTCTCTTTTTTGCTTTTACAATGCTGATGATAGAGTATAAATTTTTCTTTATCTGATTTTAATACATCATGATCTTTTCTTGCTTTATCTAATAAAGACTAAAGAAAAGCTAATAATTAATGTTGTATACACATCAATCTTGTGCGAAAAAAAACAAATATTTTTTATTATACCTCGTCGCTGGTGAGTTGCTGCTTCTTTTCTTCAAGTTCAATGATCTGACTCTTAAGCATCTGATTCTGATGTTCATATTCATTGATTTCTTGATCTAAAATAAAAAACTTAGAACATCTTCTAATTATAAGACATGAACAATATGTAATTAATAAGTACCAAAAATTTGTTTTAGCTTTCGATCGGGTTTACTAAAGTCATCGTTTCCGTTAAGAAATAATTCATATGATTCTGAAAGATTTCTGACCCAATGATCACGAATCAAAGTTGGTTCAGCTTGTCTTTCTTTATTAAAGGCATCTTGAAGAATCAAGTATTTCTAATTTGAATAATGTTTATTTAGTCTCAACAATATTATAACCCACTAAGAATCAATAAAATTAGTTTTTACTTTAGCGACGTCTGCCAGCCATTTAAGCATAGCGAGCAAGATTGGCCAAGAATGTGCTGAATTTAAAGATGCCAATACTTGTTTACGTATCTCGTGTCCGAATGGATATCTATTTTCAAAAATATAAATATTTTCAGACGCTAACAAGAGAAAATGAATTGCTCAAGAAAAATTTTACCGTAATCCTTGTACAAGTTGAACTACAAGTTCATCGAATTTACTAGTGGGCCCCCAATTAATAGTAGGATCGATAACTTCATATAAAATCTTGAAGGTGATTTCAAGATCTTTTGAGGTCGGCTTTTGAATTAATGCTTTCAGGCTGACACCATTATCAGGATTAAATTGTCTGAGAGTTTGCAAAATATAATTGGCTGCATTCTGTTGCCATGTTTTATTACGGATAGGACGAGGGTCTGTAGTAGGTCTATAGGGTAAATAAAACCTCGATCATTAAAACATTTCTCAGCAAGAATAAATGCTTCCCATATACCAAGAAATCTAATTACTTTTGAATACCATTCATTGATGCACGCGAGAGACGTCCTATCGCAGATATATTTGCGTCGAAACTTACCATTGACTCTTGGCGTATAGGAACACCGCCTAGCCAATTTACTTGACTTAATCGCGGTATTCCTGAACGATCCATTTGTATAGTGTATTATGGTTTTTGATAAAATAAACGCGTAGAAAGAATTTATTTAATACGCGAAATTTTTCCTAAGATCTTGAATTTGATTGGTAAACTATGATGATCTTGTGATTTTGTGATTTTTATTATGATTGGTTAAGAATATTAACAAATCACATTTGATAATTTTCATCAAATATAATTGGCTAATATATGTACAAAGCCACTCCCGATAATGTAAAAATTTCAAAAACTTCATTATACATTATATCAAGCGGAATTATTATATGGTTTATAATAAATTGTTCCTGAACTCAAGTTCATTATATCGCGATTTTAATTGGATTTCGTTATATCGAAGGGTCGTTATATCAAGAGTATCTTTGTACATAAAATGCATGGTTATATATATATATTAAAAAAATATTTTAAAAATTTAAAAAATATATAAATTTTATTATTATATTATTATATTTTTTTTATTAATAAACAATTTTAAAGATTATTAAAAATTTAAATTTATAATTTTTATATATTTATTTAATTAAATTAATATATTTTTTAATATTTTATATTAGATATTATTTTATTTTTTATTAATATTCTTTATTATTTAAATAAAAATAAGTTTTTTTATTATTATTTTTCTTACTTATTTTATAAAATTATAAAATTAATATATTAATATATTTTATAAATTGATTTTAGCTTTAAAAATAATTAAAAATAAATATATTTTAGAAATTATTCAAAAATTTATTAATTATAACTAATTTTATTATTATTTTTTATTATTTTTAATTATTTTTAAATCTATTTATCAAGATAATAAAAAAGCTAATATTTATCTCTAATTTAATATTGAAAGTTTTATTTATATTTTAAATTTATTATATAAATATTTTTATAATAATATATATTTTTGAAATTAAAATTATAAATAAATTAAATATAATTAAATCTCTTTATAATAATTGAGAAAATAAATTTAATAATTAAAAAAAGATATAATTATAAAAAGATTTTTTTATTTATAATTAATTAATAATTATAAAATTTAAAAAAGATAATTATGAAAAAAATAATTATAAAAAAATATAATTATAAAGAGATTTAATTATATTATAAATAAATTATAAATTATAAATTATCATAAAATTTTAATAATAAGTAATTTGCTAAAATAAGTAACTCCCTTTCTTTAGATCTAAAAGTCTTAAAAAAGTTAAATAAGCAATCTCTATTTATATTAATAATTTTTAATATATAATAATAAATATTTTGATAATTAGTAATCAAATTTAAATGAAAAAACTGTTAAAATAATTATCTTAATAAGATAAATCTAATAAGCTATAGAATATTCAATTTAAATTAATATATTTATATTTATTTAAAGAATTTAAAAATAAATAATCTTTTTGAAAATTAATCTTAAAAATAATTATATAAAGAATTACTTATTATTAGAATTTTATAATAGTTAAAAATTATAAATTGATTAAATATTATAAATAAGTTAAAAAATATTATTTTTCAAATATATTTAAAATATAATTATAAAATAAAGATGAAAAATATTTAATAATATTAATTTTTATCTTATTATTAAATAATAAATAAATTAATTATATTAATAAATAAGAAAAAATTTATAATAATAATATATACTTAATTATATTTATATTTTTTTTATTAATTATATATAATAAAAAGAATTAATATATTTATCAAGAATATTTTTTTATAAATTTTATTAATATATTTATTTAATAAAAGAAATTTTATATAAAATACTAATAAAAAAGTTAATAATTTAATAGTTAATAACTTAATAATAATTAATAAGCTTATATAATTTCTAGTAAAAATAATAATAGTAAATATTTTTACCTATATTTTAATAATAAAATGTTCAAATCTCACAAAAATTTATAAATATATTTTTAAAATATTATAAATAAGATTTTTTAATAATACAAATCATGTTAGTTTAATAAAATTTTATGAAATTTTATATTAAATATGATGAATTAGATGTTTATATGAAATAATCTTAAAAAATTTATTTAAAAATATTTTTAATAAGTAATTTTGAAAATATTTTTGTAAAAATATATTTTAAGATATAAAAAATATATT